ATCCGCGATGTCGCCAGAGAAAGCCAGCTTCAACGCGTCTGCCGCGAATCCACCTAATACCGCCATGGGCGCCCAGAACGATGGAGCAGGAGCGACCTTCGTGAATCGGGAAGGCTGGAACTCCGGGACGTCTCGGTTGTGCAAATTTGCGCAGTGGTAATCCACTTTCTGCCCGCAATGTCCCGCGTCGGCGCAGCAGCCGAAGCGCGCGCGCAGGGGCCCTGATCGACCAGTGAGGTCTTTGTTAAAAATCTTCATGAGATGATCGATGCGCCACGCCCTGGAGCACTGCCGTGTGACAGGGTGACGTTCACCAGGAGGCTTCGGCTCGCAACATAGAAACAATTCAGACAGGAGCAATCGCACCTCTGGCTCTGGCGGATCTTGTGCTGGGCCTTCCCGCCGCTCGTGCGTTCCAGGATCTTGGAACTGCTTCGCGACGACTGCTACGAGCGCCAGGAGCAAAGTCTCCTTGGACGACCCAAACTTCATGAGCTTGCTCAGTGAATACATGGAAGATTTTGAACCCCATGCGGACAAGGAGACCGTCGAACACTCGCCCCAGTTGGTGCACGCCACACCGCTCCACCCACAAGAGGAATTTCATAAGGCAGCCGCAAAACTTTCACAACGCGCAAATTCGAACTGAACGAATCACAACATATGATGAGGATCGCGCGCGTGAAAATATGGGCCATCGTGGCCCTGAAGAACCCGATCATCGACTTACCGCCTGCAATGAACCTCTCCATCGCTGCAAAAATACAAGCGCCCAGACAAGCTGCAGAGGTGCTTGCAACGAGCCGCGGCGGCACAAACCGCGTCTCATGCGCGTCCTTGTCGATCATATTGAAATGCACGCGGCCCACCCGCGCCATCGCGTGCCGGAGTGCGTTGCGTTTCCGGACCTCCGCCTTCTTCGGTCGAACGCCTCGTAGTTCGTCAACCGCTTGCTTGACGCGTATCAAGTGCCGCTGCAGCGGGGCGCCTTGCAAGTTCTCCCCGCTGATCCACTGGTAGGTTTCGTCGAAGCCCCAGCTGATGACGCAGCGCGGGGTCTTGCTGCCGACTTTGACATGGCGGTCAAACACACTCGCGAGCATGCGCTGCCGCGCCTCCACTACCACCACTGATAGGATACGGCACGCGATAATACACCTCAGAACTTTGCTCTTCGCACCATTGGCGACTGGACGCAGCAATGCGTGGACGCTGCTCACAAAATTCCACCGATGCGCAGCGCACCTGCACGGAGGAGGAGGAGGAGGAGGAGAAGGAGGAGGAAGAGGAGGAGGCCGACGTTGGGGGGGACCCTGCAGCGGAGGCCAGTCCACAAGAAACTTTTCACAATAAGCCCAACCCTGACGCCCCATGACGTCCGCATGAAGCCCAACCCTGACGCCCCATGGCCCATGGCCCATGGCAAAACCAACGAAACCTGAGAAACCCGGGGCACCCTGGAGGCACGCAGGGTGTTTCTTGGCATGGGCCCCCACTGTATCTCTCCCTCCCCTCTCCACTCCATCCGGGGCACGCTCCGATCAGGACGGACTCGGCCAGGTCAGCGTCCTTCCAGTCCACACGGGCCCCTAGAGCGCCTAAGTCGCCGAGGATGGTGCCCTCGCGCGATTGGTTCAAGTCCAGCGCCTGCTCGATCTCAGCCTCGGAGGAGAGGGGCAAAGGAGGCAGAGGCAGCGGAGGTGAAGGGGGAGGGTACGCAGGAGTAGGAGGCCCCTGGGACCCCCTGGGAGCCTTGCTCGAACGAAACCTCCTTCGTTTGGCAGACGGTGCTGGCGAGCGACAGCACTGTCTATCGCGAGCGGGCTGCCCCTCTGGCTTGGGCGGCGCCTCCGGCTTGGGGGGCGGGGCCAGCAAGTGCATGGGTGCACGGGCGCACCCCAAAGCCAAAACGGCTTCGCAAGGGAAGAGGGGGACGGCCCCTAACTTCGCGCATCGCGCATCGCGATGTGCGACGCGCGGTTATCTTCGCGCCCTCGCGCCGCCACCTTAGAGAAGGCACCTCTCTGGCCCAGGACACGAAGCGCGAAACGCGATCATCTTCGCGCCCCTCGGGGCGACCTCAGGACGAGGGCAGTTGGAGGAGCAGGGCAAGAGGTGGAGAGGCGGGGGAGGGGAGGAGGGGGGAGGGGAGCGAGGGCAGGAGGAGGGCAGAATGAGAGGCATGAGGCATGAGGAGTTGGAGGGCATGCGGCATGCGGCATGCGGCGTGGGGATGATGGGGAGGAGGTGGAGGGGATGGGTGATGGGGGTGATGGGGACGGTGGGGAGGCGGGGTCGTTCATTCAGGGTGGGACGGAGGAAAGGGGAGGAGGAAGGGAGGGAGGAAAAAGGTACAGGGAGGGAGGAGGCAGGGATGGGGGGGGACGGGAGGGAAAAAAAGGGGGGAGGGCGAATGCAAGCAAAGCAAAAAGCACCAACACGAGGAGGAGGCAGGAAAAGAAGCGAGGGGAGGACACCTAAAACGTGCAGTCGTATACCAGATATTGCTGAAACCCGCCGCAACAGAGCCGGAGGCACAAGGAGAGGGCACACAACGCCCCACCCGCCGCTGGGAAAAATAACAAAGAGAGGTCGCAACAGGGCCGCATAGAGGACACGAATGAATAATGGAAGGTTCTTGTGTTGCTAAGTTAAAATTGCACATCACAAATATGGAATTTCCCACATAACCAAATTACTCTAAATTTACCCTGGAAATTACCCAAAACCGCGAAGACAAGATACCATCGTCCCTCCCGTCTCAAATTATATTCTTTGCAAGGGAAGAGGGGGGGTCGAACCCGGCCTGGCTGGGGTGGTCCAAATTCATATTTCGGATGGATGGTGGGGCAGAACCATTTGTAATTTGCAATCGAAAAGAGCGTACCGTTACCTCCGGGGGGGTGAGGTACATCCGAATACCTTTTTGAGAAAAACACATATGGTGTGCACTCCAAATTGTGCGCTCTATGTGGTGCGATATATGTGAAGCGCAGTATGTGATGCAGCCGCTGTGATGCAATAAGCGTTGCGCAATACGTGTGTATATATATACACATCTGTATATAGCAATGCGGAACAACGCAAAGCATCGCAAAACAATGCAACGCAACGAAAAAACAAAACCAAACAATGTAAGTAATGATTCGCAATGTGCAGCAAAGCACAGCAACGACGAGCAGTGCAAAACAATGCAACGACACGGCGACAGTGAAGCAACGGCGCCGGGCGGCGACGATGCGGCGACGGTGCGGCGACGGCCGGCACGGAGCCGCGAAACCGACATACAAGCCCAGGCGACGGGCGGCGACGAAGCGGCGACGGGGCGGCGACGGCCGGCACGGAACCGCCAGACCGACACATAGGCCCAGTTCTCTAGACCAGGATAAAGAGACCAAGAATGCAAGCACTTCTTGGGAATACTACACTTTGCCAGGCGACTGGCTGTGACTGGACAAGTCCTGCTCGTTGATGCCCGCGTCAAGGATCCACCCATATAGTCCTGCTTTGATTTCTTCGGTGGCCGCTGGTAGGGAACAGCCGGTCCTGAAGAGGCTAGGGTCAGAGGGTCGATCGTGTTGTGCCAGCCGAGCAAAAGTCCATTTCCCGTCTGCACATGCGTTAGCCTGTGCCAAAAACCTTTGAACCTGCTCCAGATTTTGCTGCATGTCGTTCTGGAGTGCCTGAATAGATTTCGACCGTTATTGGAGTCGCCGAATGTCGCAAACAAGCTGGTCAATCCGACGAATCTGAAGCTGACGGGTGCCAGTGGCACTCTCCATGACGTTCGTGCAAATCGTCTCCATGATGCCTTGGACTTCCTCACGTGCTGCCGCAATCTGCACACCAATAGATCACCGAACCAGGTCACCAACTGCCTCGGCACTTTGATCGCCTCCACGCTGCGCAACAGCAGCGCCAGCAGCACACCGGTCACCAGCTCAATGAAGGTTGCCGGCACCAGGTGAACGGCCAGCACGATGAGAAGGGGCATCACGATGTTCGTGGAGCGGGACGCAGTGAGTGCTCAGCAGCGGCTGCTCGGAGCTCACGCTCAGGAAAGGTACGGGCCATCTCGATAGCTTCAGCTGGCTGTCGACGCTCTTCGGCAAAGTCGGGGATCCCAAGGGAAAGGTTTGCGACACGTCCTCGATGGCTGCCAGCATCACGGGCTTGACGGTCATCTCGATCATGCCGACGAGGGAACTCTTGGCGAACGAGAGCTGAGGGTGTGCGCTTGCAGCCACTGCTGGACGAACTGTCCCGACCAGCAGCAACGTGCCGACGCTGCCGATCTTCATGCCGTCGGTGGCGACTGCGCTGGATCCGAGCAGAGATAATTCTATCACCGCGTGAGACCTCGTTGGAAGAAGGGACATCTGGCATGTGAAAGGGCACACGCGACAGCAGCAAAAGGACATGCCTCAGCTTACCCGTTGCCGAATGTCGCGATGAGAAAGCCGCATGCTCCTCCAAGAGCTCACCAACAGTTGGAACCTAGTTGCGGACCAATTATATCAACTTTGTTTCGGTGGAAACTTCCCATCCCGAGCCAAAGTGGCTACGAAAGGACGGAGGGATGAGGAGAAGGATAATGATGATGAGGAGGAGGAGGAGAAAAAGGAGGCGGCGGAGGAAGAGGAAAGGGAGGGGGAAGAGGCGGAGGAGGAGGAGGAGGAGACGGAGGAGGAGGGGGGAAGGCAAAGGAGGGTGAGGAGGATGAGGATGATGAGGAGGAGGAGGAAGAGGAGGAGGAGGAGGAGGAGGGGAAGGAGGAGGCGGAGGAGGAGGAGGACGAGGAGAAGGCGAGGAACAGGAAAGGGAGAGGGAGGAGGAGGAAGAGGAGGAGGCGGAGGAACAGGAAACGGAGGGGGAGGAGGATTAGGAGGAGGAGGAGGAGGAGGAGGAGAAGTAGATAGGGGAAAAGGAAGTGGATGGGTAGCAGGATTCAGGGGAGGGGGTGGCGGCAAACGCCCACTTTGGCGCCGCCCCGAATTCACCAACTCACGTGCGACGGCGCTCTCCAGCACGCCGCCCTCCTATGCGGGCTGGTGAAAAAAAACAACGCCCGCACATGTGACCATTCTTGTCTTTTTGTTGTTTCCTCCTCCTCCACCTCCTCCTTCTCCTCCTCCTCCTCCTCCCCCTCCTCCTCCTCCTCCTCCTCCTCTTCCTCCTCTTCCTCCTCTTCCTCCTCCTCCTCCGCCCCTCTCCTCCTCCGCAAACCTCCACCAACGCCTCCTCTTCCTCCGCCTCCCCCCTCCCTCCTCCTCCTCCTCCTCCTCTCCTCCTCCCCCTCCTTCCTCCTCTTCCTCCTCTCCTCCCTCCTCTTCCTCCTCTCCTCCTCCTCCTCCCCTCCCTCCTCCTCCTCCGCCACCCTCCTCCTCCTCCTCCTCCTCCTCTCCTCCTCCTCTCCTCCTCCTCCTCCTCTCCTCCTCCTCTCCTCCCTCCTCCTCCTCCTCCTCCTCCTCCTCTCCCTCCTCCTCCCCCCTCCCTCCTCCTCCCTCTCCTCCCTCCTCCTCCTCCTCCTCCTCCTCCTCCTCCTCCTCCTCCTCCTCCTCCTCCTCTTTCCCACTGCCCAAAGGTGATAAGAGCTGGAACGTTGTTCGGTCTTCTTCCCTGACGTAGTCCCCCCAGATGCCTTGTTTTTGTCCTTGTCGTCCCTGCCTCCCCCTGCCTCTCCACAGCCACTGGGCCTCGAGTGCTGCTGCGCACTCATGCTCGATTGCCTGTGCGACCCTCTCGGGTCTGCGCATTTTTGCTCGGCGCTGTATATATTGAGCGGGCGACGGCGCTGGCCCGGCCCGCCGACCGCCAGCTGCCAGGCCCCCGCGCGCGGCCCCCCGCGGGAGCGGAGCTGCGCCTGTCCCTCCGCGCCCAGGGAGCTCAGCAAGATTGTGTAGGTTTGGGAATTAAGCCTGTGCGTGAGTCTCCTTTGGATTTTTCCTTGCAGTTCTTGGGCGAGCGGCCGCCAAGGGAGCAGCGGCCCGTGGCCCCTTCTTCGGGGCCAGCAGCAGCCCGGCTCGGCCCTGTCCGCCGGGCCCGGCGGCAGTCTGGCAACGCACGCGCTGCTTGGGCGCCAGTGGGTCCAGCCGCGTCAGTTCCTGGCTAGCCTCGAGGCGCTCGCCGTCGTAGGCCGCGGCCGCTCCCCGGGAGCAGGCCAACGGTGGGCTGGCGCAGAACAGGCGCGTCAGCTTGCCCGCGCCGCAGTGCCAGAGGAGGAGTTCCGCCGCCTGGGTCGCTGGCGCGGCGACGCCTGCGCGGGGAGATGGGCGAGTTTTTCTAGCAGCGTCGCCCTCTCTCCGCAGCCTCGGCGCAGCGCGCCGCGGCGCGGGCGTTGTCGCCCAGGTCGCCGCTCACGTCCAGGAGGCCAAGCGGCAGCGGTCCCCCGAGCGGGGCGCCCAGCAGCGCGGCGCCGTCGGAGCGCCCTCCCAGCCCCAACGGGCAGGGCAAGCGGGGCGACCGGGCGCGTCTTCCGCCGCTGCGGCTCGAGCCCTACTGAGATGCATCGTGAATTACGCGGAAACACACAAAAGTTCTGGGAGGTTGAGCTACAACACACTTGTAGACGTTAGCGGCGCGCCAGAATAAATTCCAACGCCTGTATTCATAAACTAACAGATGAGCCATCGTACCCATGTTGCGCCAGATTTTATGGATGCCCATGTGGGTATAGCCACGATCGAAAACAATCTCTGCGGTTTTGCAACTGTGCATAACACATGGTACACAACACAACCAAGAGCAGCGCACCACATAGATTTCATCAGGTTGAAGTTCCAATGCTTGCACCACGTAGACTGCACCACATTGAATTGATTCTAGGTGTGCCAGCAAGGTTGCATTGCATACTTTGTACTGCAAGGATGTAGCTAGATTGCAAAGCGCGCGCTGCAACTAAGGAATTTGAGAGCTTGCGCTACATGGACTGCACAAAGAATGCCCCCGTGCGGCAGGTGGCGCAGGCCTCCCCGCCTCCCCACGAAGCGCCCGCGTTGCGTGGAGCGGGCCGTGGCCGCCTGCCCCGGGTTGCTGGCCTCGCCGACCCGCGCGCTGGCGTAGCCGCAGCGTCGCCTCAGCGGTCTCGGCTCCGAGCGCCCAAGGTCCGGGCGGGCGGTCGAACCGCAGCCGGGCGGCAGGTGGCGGCCGCCTCCCGGCCGACCCCCTGCAGCCCTGCAGGCGCCGGGCGGCCTGGAAGAGGGCCGCGTCGTCCGTCCCCGCTGCTCGGTCGACCTTTTCGAGGAGGGTGTCTCCCTTGAAGTCGTCGTCCCCGCCATCGTCTTGCTGCCTCGGCCGCCAGGGCGGCGCGCGCCGCGGCCATTGACGCGAGCAGCGGCTCTGGCGCGTTCTCCCAGGCTCGGGCCCCGTGCTCCAGCCTAGCTATCGCGCGTGGCCTGCGCCAACTCTGGGGGCCCCGCGTCGGCTGCGTCCGCCCGCGCCGCCGCTGCCCGTTGCGCCACCTCCTCCGCGCAAGCCGCGGCTTTGGCGGCGGCCGCCCTGTCGCGGGCGTCCTCGAGGCGGTACCGTGCGCCCTCGAGCGCCTCCTCTGCTGCGTGCGCCACTGCCGCCGCGCCTTCGCCGCCGCCGCCCTCTGGCCGCCGAGGCGGTTGTCGCCGCGAAGTTCCGCCTGCCACTGCCGCGCGGCCCGCTCCAGCGGCTCGACGGCCGCAGCCAGAGCCCGGCAACGCCGGCCAGGCTTCGCGCGCGCCGCCTCCAGCAACCGCTGGTGGGGGCGGGCAGCTCGATCTGGCCCTGGCGCGGGCGGCGCCGCACTGGCGGCAAGACCTGCAGTTTTCGAAGTTGGCAGTGCCGCAAGGGCAGCGCCACTACGCGCGGCGCTGTGGTAGCTGCTCGCTGGCCTGTCCCGAGGAGGCTCGTGAGGCGCCCGCGCCTGCAGCCGCGGCGCTGGACAAGGGCCCATGCCATGGCGCGGAGGGGCGGGAGGAAGGTGCGAGATGGGGTAGGGCGGGTGAGGAGGGAGACAGTTGGGCGGTGGCTGCGCGCGACTTGGCCCTTGACCCTTGACCCTGCCCACCCTCGTCCTCCTCCTCCTCCTCCTCCTGTTCCTCTTCCTCCTCCTCCTCCTCCTCCTCCTCCTCCTCCTCCTCCTCTTCCTGTGCTCCTCCGGCTCCTCTGGCTCCTCTGGTTCCTCCGGTTCCTCCTCCTCCTCCTCCTCCGCCTCCTCCATTCCTTATCCTCATAAGCAGCTCCTCCTTGTACAGCCCCGAAGCCGGTCGAAAGGGCGGGCGGGACGTTTCGCCTGATACTTCCTCAACACTTGCGACTCTGAAGCTGAGAAACTGGCAACAGCTTCGCAGATAGAGGGCGGGTGCCACGTACATTCGTTTCAAACATGTGCAATAGCTTCGCGGATTGAAGGCGGGTCGCTTTCAAAATGTGGCTCTCGCCTTAGCGCCGCGCACATTCTTTTGCAACATGTGCAAGAGCTTCACGGATTGAGAATCGGTCGTTTTCAACATGTGGCTCTCGCCTTGGCACCGCGCGCATTCGTTTCAAACATTGGAAACGGTTTCGCGGATTGAGGGCGAGTCGTTTTCAAAATGTAGCTCTGGCCTTAGCGCCGCGCACATTCGTTTGCGACATTTGCAAGAGCTTCATTGACTGAGGGCGGCTCCTTTTCAAAATGTGGCTCTCGCCTTCGCGCCGCATACATTGAAAGAATTTCACGAATTCCCATGCTCAGCGTGCCAGAAATGGTGTTTGGAAAGACCCAGGATTGTGAGGGCGCAACAGCTACGTTGAGTCTCGGTGTTGAAGCCCCAGGAATGGCACTCTGCTGCGGTTCATGATCGCCAAAACGCAACAATCAGATTCATTCGTGGCGCTGGAGTCCCGAGAATGGTGTTCTGGCACGCTTCGGGGTCTCCAAACGGTTGTTTCCCAACGAGGCAGTTCCCGCAGTGGAAATGAACCCTTACAGGGGCTTATGAAGAGGGAGCTTGGAGGGAGGGTTGATTCCAACATCGTTGGTGAGTCTTGGGTTTCCACTGGTCCTCCTCCTCCTCCTCCTCCTCCTTCTCTATCTATCTATCTATCTATCTATCTATCTATCTATCAAGGCAAAGGGTGATGCCTGTACAAAGCGGGATTGAAAGAGCAGGACGAGAGCAAGCAGGAAAAGGGGAAGGCGAAGATCCTCGTGAAAAAAACGCTGGGATGATAACGATAGCCCAGCACGGTCCAGGCCCCACCCCCCCAGCCGCCGCCAGACCCCAGGCAGCAACGGGGGGGACGAGGGAGACAGAAGGGGGGGACGGGGACAGACCGAAACGAATCCCACCCAAACCCAAACCACCCTTTCGAACGGAGATCACCTGGACTCCGCAAGGGAATAGGGGAGTTGGAGCCATGTGTGAGGAGGAGCGAGAGGAGGAGGAGGAGGAGGAGGAGGAGGAGGAGGAGGAGGAGGAGGAGGAGGAGGAGAAGGAGGAGGAGGAGGAGGAGGAGGAAGAGGGGGAGGAAGACGAGAGGGAGGGGGAAAAACAGGACAGAGACAGAAAGGGAGGCCCCAAACATGGCTCCAGACTCCCAGGGTACCGAAACCCACAGGGACGACGAAAGCCGGCACACCCCGGGGGGAGAGGGGAAAAGAGAGGCACAGAGGGGGGGAGAGACAGGGAAAGAGAGGCAGGGAGGGAGGGAGGGAGGGAGAGGAGGCGAGGGACAGCAGCAAGAGAAAAAAACGGCCAGGACAGTGCTCCTCTCCTTCTCCTGCTCTTCCCCGGGAGTGGGGAATGTCGTTGGGGCGGGAACACCTACGCAAATACAGTCAAAGTCCTGCTGTTGGGAACCTGGCATACCGGGCGAACACTTGTCATGCCAAGGTTCGGGTTGAAATCTTTTGCCGCGGCCCGCAAACGCGGTCCCTGGGCACGCGGTGCCACTTCTGAGCCGGAAGTGATCACTGACTCGATGCCCCGAGAATCCGCCGATCCCTTATGGGTCTCTAAGCGTGTGAGATTGTTCCCCCACCCAAACCCCCCCCAAGAACCCCAAACCGGAGAATTGACCCCCCCCCCCCGGCCCTGGACGAACGCCCCCCTCGGCCCCGGACGAACGCGTCATGGGAGCATAGAGGGCCCCAAAACGGGCCAAGAGGGCCCCAAGTGGGCCCCAAGACGATCCAAGAGGGCCCCGAATCGTCGAACGATCGCTCCAAGACGCCCAAGATGGCATTCAAATGGCCCAAGATGCCTCCAGAACGCCCCAAGAGGCCTCCCAACAGGCACCGAAGAAGTGCAAATTGCCCCATTCCCTTAGGAAAACGTATGCTTTAAACATATTCGCTTTTTGCGATTTCATACCGTGCAAGACGGCCCAAAAAGACCCCTAGGACAGCTCCGAGACGGCCCACAAGGGTCCCAAGACCGCCAAAGAAGCCCCGATGACGGCCCCAGATGGCCCCCAGACGGCGCCAAAAGGGGGCCCACGGAGGGAACCCGAACCCACATTTCCAGCCTTCGGCCCCAGGACGCCCCAGGTTGCCTCAAGAAGCCCCCAACACGCCCCAAGAAGCCCCCAGGGAGCCCGAACAGAGTCCCTAAACGCCCTCAAGAACCTCCCAGGAATCGGACAAGCCTCGTGGAATGCAGTCCTGGACACGCAATAGTTTATAGAGGGGTCGGCGGATGTGGCGTAAGCCTATAGAATCTATTCGGGTCCCTCTGCGTCCTTCTGCGGAGAATCGATGGTCTCCTCCCCGCATCGGCGGTGCCGGGCGCGCGGTCGGTCGGTGTACAAGAAGACCTCCACATAGCGGTCCTGCGTGCAGAGCCGCAACAGGAACAACTCTGCAGCCCTCCTCATGCTGCTGCTGCTGCTGCTGATGCTCCTCCTCCTCCTCCTCCTCCTCCTCCTCCTCCTCCTCCTCCTCCTCCTCCTCCTCCTCCTCCTCCTCCTGATACCTTCCTGGGCCCCAGAGAGCACTTCTTCGGCCTCGTGTGGTCTCCTCGATCCCCCTCGGGAGCATCTTGGGCCCTCCTGGGGCATCCTGAAGCTTCCTGGAGACTCCTGCCTGTCTTTTGATGTGGGCTCCCCTTGTGCCTACCAGGACCTCCTGGACCCTTCTTGTCCCTTCTGGGCGCTCACGGAGGCCTCCTCCATAATTTATGCGCTTTGGCTTTTACCTCGCGAGCGTGCCGCCTCAGGTCCCTCGACCCGCGCGGGCTGTCCCCAGCAGGCATCGAAAGCAACTTTTAGTCATCCCTGTGTGGGGTCATCATCATCATCATCATCATCATCATCATCATCATCATCATCATCATCATCATCATCATCATCATCATCATCATCATCATCATCATCATCATCATCATCATCATCACCATCATCATCATCATCATCATCATCATCATCATCATCATCATCATCATCATCATCATCATCATCATCATCATCATATTCATCTTCATCATCATCATCATCATTCATCATCATCATCATCATCATCATCATCATCATCATCATCATCATCACATCATCATCTCATCATCATCATCATCATCGGCATCATCATCATCATCATCAGCATCAGCATCAGCATCAGCATCATCATCAGTATCAGCATCAGCATCATCATCATCATATCATCATCATATTCATCTTCATCATCATCATCGCATCATCATCATCATCATCATCAGCATCAGCATCAGCATTATCAGCATCATCATCATCTTCATCTTCATCATCTCATCATCATCATCATCATCATCATCATCATCATCATCATCATCATCATCAGCATCATCATCATCATCATCATCATCATCATCATCATCATCATCATCATCATCATCATCATCATCATCATCATCATCATCATCATCATCATCTTCATCTTCATCATCATCATCGGCATCATCATCATCATCATCATCATCATCATCATCATCATCATCATCATCGTGATCGTCATCGAACACCCTCGACCCGCACATCCGAATGCGGGCGGACCCACAGCGCAGGCGACGCAGGGGAGTGCCGGCCAACGGCCGCTGGCCCAACTGTTTTTTTGCTTCGCCAGAATACACAACCTCCGATCACCCACGCACATCGCACACACCTCAGCTGGCCCTGCGAGTCGAGTCGCTGTGCCATCGAACTTGCTTACGTAGACAGAGCCAAAAGAGGCAGAAGGAGAACGAGACCGATGAGGGGGAGTGGACAGCGTGGTCGCCAGAAATGGCTGCCACGAGCATCCGCCGCTTGAAACCTCGGCCAAGCCCAGAAGCGAAGAAACACGAGCGAAAGTAGGAGGGGGAGCAACAACAACAAATGAACACTGCGCGACGCCTGCGCACGCACCACCTTGTTTGCTGCCAGGTGCGAGGTCTGGGGGATTTCGTAAGCACCTCGTCTGCCGATAACACCCCTTGCCGCCTGATCATGAGGCGGCCACTCGGACCGACATGCTGAAGGCTGGTGTGATGACGACCCTAATGCACCACTAATTGTCGAAAGATAGCCACACAATTTTTGCCAAAAGGTTCCGACTTACATTCAACTGTCATCGCTCCGTCGCTCGACTGGGAATGGGAGGGGATGCTCGAACGAGTAGGGGAGGCGAGGGACTCGGTCCCGCACGCCTCAAGAGGTCGGCTGCCTCTGTCTTTCCCGAACAAAAACGGGGCCCCTCAAAGGCGAAGACACGAGAGTCACTGAAAGCAGAGAGGAACCTGTCCACTCTGCGCCACCATCCTGAGGCAAACCTCAGACAGGGCACGTCATAAAGGCAGGGAACACGTGAGGAATCTACACGTGCTCGGATGCGAGATGCCTGGGCTGAGGGTGGCGATGTGGGTCCCCAGGGAGATCAAGCGGGTGGGCCACCGTGGTCTCTGGCACGACCGCGATCACGAGACCTGTACTGCTTGTTGTTGTTCCTCATCTTTCTTGCCACTATGTTGTTGCTTCTTTTTACAAGCTCCGTGAGAACCGCCGGAAGATGACGATTACGATGAAGTGCGCGAGCTGGAATCACGGGCGGACTTCCTTTGCTTCTTACCCAGACATCCAATTGCTCCAAGTTGTTGGGTGCGTGGGCCCTGGAGGTCCGGACCACTTCCCCGGGACCGGTTTTTCGTCCTGAATCCTTTTGACGCCCCCGAGGCCCGGCGAGGGCCCCCAGAGGCCGAAAACGGCCAAATCCCGGTGTTCCAATTTGTTTGGAACGTCGGATCTCAGGTCTCAGGGTATATTGATTGTTCTTCTTGTCCGCCATTTTCTCGAACTGATGTTCCGCGCGATCCAGACTGCGACTGTCCTGGCCCCTGCCAAACGGGCCCCCCCGGCCCGGCTGGAGTCTCAGTCGCGTTTCCCGTGTTGCCGCGGCGCCGTCTCGCAACCCTTGCCGCCCCTGCCCTTGCCGCCAGCTGCCACCGCAAGAGCACTGGCAGCCCGAACAGCCATATCATGGCAAACGTCGCGCGAAGTACTGAGCGAAAGAAGCAGTTCGACGCGAAATGCCCCCACTTTGACCTGGGCCAACGAGCGAGGGTGGCGCGCAACAACAGCAGCGTGCAGGGACCGTCATGATCGCCGCTGCCACAGTTTGAAGGGGGCTGGGAGGCCCAGCAAGCAGCTTCGCCTCAGGCGAAGCCAAGCTCCAGCTCTGTTGTACCGTAGTAGCGATAGTCCCAGTAGGAGATGATGTGCCATCTTAAGCAATAGGAAGATCTTTTTGGTCTCGATAGCGATTGTGTGCCTCGCACTGAGGCACAGTCATATTTGGGCGGCCGGCCGCTTGAGCCGACGCGGCCGCGGGCGCACGCTTGCTTCCACTCCTCACGTCCCTCAGTTCGCTTTAGAGTCGGAGGGGGAGGAAGACGAAGCGTGAGCCCGTCGCCCCTATACAGCAGGCGCAGCAGCTAGAATACACAAGGACAGGAAAAGGGGCGGGCAAGTTGCCTTGTTTGCACAGTTCTGTACTTGAAGTACTCCTCAGGCGGCGCCAGATCTAGATATCTGGCCGGCCCGATACGGAGTATGTCTCTTCAAGTCATGCTTGAAGGCCTGTATGCCTCCCTTGACTTGTAGGAGCATTCCTCTGTCAATGCTCCCCTTGGTGTGACCATCCGCGGTCGTATCGCGGGTGTCGCACCATTTGATGCTGTGCACGATTCCACGTTCCATCATCTGTCGTGTGCAACTGATGTGTCCTAAATTGGTACACTCAGTCGGCTTCTTCAAGTCTTTGCTTGACAAGGACTTAAAAAATACTCAATATCTAAGGTCAAAGTGACCTTGATGCTCAGGCCACCCAATACTCAAACATTTATTTCAACTGAGTGGGCGTAAGCGGTCCTGCGTGGAGCTCGTGTAGAGTCACAATCGTGGGATAACAGTCCTCCAAATTACGAGCTGCTGCTAGTGTCTCTGCTGAATAGCTCGAGCGGACCTGCAAGCGGTGAGACTTGCAATGCGCATCGGTCAAGTGAACGACAGGCTTACCGGATGACGTGTTTCCACGTCGTAGCAGGTTTGCCCCGCGAATACCATAGCCTTTGACGTCGTCGTCGGCGCCTCCACTCAGGCGTCGGTATCCTGAGTCGCTATGCAGGTCGACCTCGCCCGTAGGATTCATCGCCTGGTAGACGATCTTCTTTGGGCAGACCCGTGGCCTCCTAGTGATCGCGTTCAGTCGTCGCACTTGGATGTTGGTCGGTTCTTGGACACGTTGTAGAGAAACGACATGCGCCATCAACCGCGCCTGGGTGATTAATGCATACGCCAGCGCACCCCTGAGGCTGACGAACATGTCTGCAACCATCTTGGTTGCCTGAGCGTCAGCGTCGGCGCCGGTAAGTTCAGGATGTTGTATAGGACGGAGCTGTTTGATGTATTCATCTCGGTCCAAAGTGACACTGCCGTCCTCATCTTCGGTGCGTCTCACAGCGCAGTTGGTGCACGTGTGCTCGTCGAGTTTACACTTGCCAAAGGTATCTTCTACGCACTTGACGCGCTTGTCAATGGTGTCCTCAGTGCGGGCCATGCTGCTAGCATCAACATGCTTGGCCGTGAGCAATAGGTTGCTCGCCTCGAACTCCTCGTCGTAAGACGCGGGTCGGAGACCGAAACCTCTGGTGGCCCTTCTGAGCTTTAGTGAGAGAGCCCGTGGTGCGTCTTTGGGGCCCGTGCCTGGTTTCAAGCACTGCAGGCAGTGCTTCGACTCATCGCAGTGCTCGAATCCTGTGAGAGTTCGGAGCGCTGCGGCCGATCCAGGCGACAGAGTGAAACGCGCCACGCGTCCCTTTTCACCAATGGCCTCAGCAAGTTCCTGGTAGGTCAGTCCCTTCAGGAAGGCCATGTTGGTGTCGAGGACAGCAATGATCCATTGCATCTTGCACGCTGCCGTGCTAGCGAGTCGCCTCTGGCTTGGCCGTCGCGCTGTTCCCGAACATGTTTCTACGTCAAAAGCTTAGAGGGTCATGAAACCTCGGAGAACCAGGCGTAGTCTGATGGCACGTCCCATCTCGCCCTTCTCGTTCTTCACGAACTTCTACGCGCGCGCGTATCTCGAAGTCACGATGTTCGACGCTTAAGCTATGTATTGCATCTTCGAACACTTGTTGTCGAACCATGTCGCGAGTTCAGTGTAGAGGGCCTTCGATACTTTATCGGGATTCGCCTGGATGTCAGCTTTCGCCAGGAGGTCGTCTTCCTGAACGACCATGGCTCGCTTTGCATCGGCGGTTACGTATACTCGCATAGTGGTCACTCGGTCGGCATCTAGTATCAGATGTTGTTGTTCGTGCAGGACTACCTTTAACATTTCTGCTGTAAAGCAGAGTTCGACATATCGACCATTTTCATCTGAGTCCAGTCCGTAGCTGTCGTCTTCGACCATGGTGCGCAGTGGGGCGTAGTACGTCTCTTCGGTATCGGGGTCGTGAGTGCGCCCCCACTTCGGCAGGTGTCCCCGCTGTTCATCAGCCACAGTGATCAGCGCACTTTGATCTGGAGCCACCTGTGTAGGTATGGTGAAGAGGTCCTCAGGTGGAGATGCATCCAGCAATTCCCTTTCCTCTTGTAGTTCTGCACACCGCATTTCCATAACATGCGACTCGGGATCAGCCTCTGATGCTTGGTAAATCGTAGAAAGCCGCCCATCATCATGTGGTGGTTCGGCTTTTGAAGCTTCTCTTGTGGTTCCCTCGGGCGTCGGTGTACCCGCTAATTCCTCAACTCTTGACATGTCCTGATCAAAACCTGCTTGAGGTTTACTGGGCTTCAGGCATTGAATAATTATCGAATGTGCTGACCCAATTATATCGTGCAGATTCAGAGCAGTACCTTTTGTTTCATAAGAATGGAACCCTGGATTCACGTCGTTGTCGTAATGGACCACTGTGCAGCTGTCAGCATAAGTAACCGGAGGCAGCTTATGGATACTCTTGGCTAGCCTGACTGAAACTACATTCTCAATGCGGAAGCAGATTCTGATAAGGTGCTGTAGCGCTAAATGCACCTTAGGAGATATACTGCTTGCACTCGTCATCTGAAGCGTCGGTCGGCACGTAGCCAAAGGTCTGAGCAGGTCTCCCCGCCGATAGACTGACCACGAATGTCAACGCTGTGCGTAGTGCAGTGTTGTCGGAGCCAATCTCTCGGGCGATCAGTGCGTCAATATATAGTGAATGTCTTGCATCGCCGTATTGTACTTGAACATCTCGATTGCCCACTCGGATGATGACCTGACCCCTTTTTCGGGATCATGCTTTACAGCTGGGAACGGGCCATTCCAGCCTCCCCAGTCATCCTTCGTGGTCGTGGGGCGATGATAATCGACCAAGTCTCCTTCATCGTAATAGTGCTGACCAGCAATAATTGTTTTAGTGCGTAAGGCACGAGTTGTCTTAGCTACTGCTGTGGCCTGTGTGCTAGCTTCAAAAAATACCCTGCGTATCGTCTGCTCACGAGAATGGTCCGACGTTTCCGTCGGCTGCTCGTGGTCCAGGACAGGTAGTTCAGGGAGCATTGCTGGTTGCCGTCCAACCAGTGCGTTGTATGGTGAAACCTCGCTATAGAAGGTGAACGCGCTGGCGGCGAACAAGGCCTCGTGCAGTAGTCGGGCAAACACAAGAGGTATGTCCAGCCTATGGAGTTCAGCTTCCATGGCGTGAAGTAGATGGCGTAGCATGCCATTTCTGGCCTCGATCGTTGTAGCGTGCTGTCCACGCGCACGTATCCTAAGTTCAGTGCCTTTTGCCTCGAGGACTGTTTTCGCAGTGTCGTTGTTAAGGGCACCCTCTCCGCTGGAGTAGAGTACCTTTGGAGGTCCAAGCTGCATCCTGCACTGATGATACGCATCCAGTTGTCATAGTCGTGTCCGGTATCTCAATCCCAGTAGCATATCGTATACAGCGATCGATGGTATGGAAGATATTGTGTTCTTGCTTGTAGAACACCAGATCACATTCCACTTCTTCATTAAATGTGCCAGGTAGTGCAGCGGAGGGCATAACAGTATGCCCAGGCTTGTCCCAAGCTTTGCACTCCCGACATGTGTCGCAGACACCTTTAATCATGTTGAGTCTGACACTGTCCAGACCTATCTTGCTTAATATGAATATCATATTAGGCTCTTTCGCATGGAACCAGCGCGAGTGTAGCTCCCTATGGAGCCACGAGATGCTGTGCTGGGTGGTGGATGACGCATGCGGGCGGTCCCACTGGGGCCTTCGGTGGAGCTCCCTATGGGGCCACGAAGCGCTGTACTGGGTGGTGGATGACGCATGCGAGCGGTCCCACTGGAGCCTTCGGTGGAGCTCCCTATGGGGCCACGAAGCGCTGTCTTGGGTGGTGCGTGACGCATGCGGGCGGTCCCACCGGGCCATTCGACGGAGCTCCCTATTGGGCGAAATGCTGCACTAGGTGGTGGATGACGCATGCGGGCGGTCCCACTGGGGCCTTCGATGGAGCCCTCTATGGGGCCACGAAGCGCTGTACTGGGTGGTGGATGATGCATGCGGGCGGTCCCAGTGGAGCCTTCGGTGGAGCTCCCTATGGGGCCACGAAATGCTCTGCTGGGTGGTTTGACGCACGCGGGCGGTCCCATTGGAGCCTTCGGTGGAGCTCCTTATGGGGCCACGAAATGACGGAGGAGCGGGAGGAGGAGGAGGAGGGAGGAGGAGGAAGGAAGGAAGGAAGGAAGGAAGGAAGGAAGGAGAACGCGGGGACCGTCTGTTCAAAACGAGGACCCAACTACACGGGCTGGTCGGAAAAAAGGGTGCCGACAATCCCGAAAGGGGCTGGGGTAGAGCCTACTTTCTTGCTTTAGGAAGGAGAACAGATGTGTGCAGCCTACGTCGCACAATGGCACAGTCAATGCAGCGCAGCCGATGTGGTCCAACCAACGTCATACAATCCAGGCAGGGGCGGAGCGGTGAAGGCGACCACATAGGCGCCAACCGCCAGCCAGGCCCAGGCGACGGGCAGCAGTCAGGCCCAGACGACGGGCGGCCACGAGGCGACGACGGAGCGGCGACGGCGACCACGGAACTGCCAGACCGACGGTGAGGCACAGTTCCTTGAAGGGGCCCTGGGGCACACAAATAAATACACACAAATAGCAGGATTCCCCATATTTTCCTATATGTTCTGGATTTGTTGTCCCCCCCCCCCCACACTTCCCATATTTTCCCATATTTTCCAGGGGATCGACGCTTAATTGTGTCTGTGTGTTTTTCCCCCTCCTGATTCCTCAGACTCTGAACAGGAGCCCGTAAGTGCAAGCACTGTCTGGGGAATTTCGGCCCTCTAGCGAAGCGCCATTCGGGAAAAAAGAGGGCGGGAGGAGGAGAAAAGAAGGGAGACGGGGAGGAGGGTGGTCCTGCATGGAGCGCAAGTGGCACTTGTCGCGGCACCGCTGGGCCGCTTCCATGCTACTGAACAAGACGCGCGCGAAACCCGATGGGCGCCTGGAGAAGGGTGATGGTGAGGATAGGGAGGAGGAGGAGGAGGAAGAGGAGGAAGAAGAAGAGGATGAGGAGGAGGAAAGGGAAAAAGAGGAGGGAAGGAGGAGGAGGAGGAAGAGGAGGAGGAAGAGGAGGAGAAGGAGGAAGAGGTGGAGGAGAAGGAGAGGAGAGGATGATAAGGGACGAACAGGAGGGGGATGATGGGTGGAGGAGGAGGGGGAGGAAGAGGGGGGAAGGAGGAAGAAAAGTGGAGGAGGTAGGAAAGGCTGGAGGAGGAGAAGGAGGAGCAGGAAGAGGATGAGACGCAGTAGCAGGAATCGGAATAAGAAAAGGATGATGAGGAAGATGAGGGGGGATGGGAAGGTCACCGTCGGCACCATGGGCCACGGATCACCTTGACCAAGCCAGCGCCGCTCAGCCACCCTCTCTCGACCGGTCCGCGAGGCCATCCTGACCAATCGCTCAAAGTGCGACCGGCCGCGGCGTCCTCTTCTTGCCTTCCTTCCTCGCGATGGCCGCGCCCGGCCGCGCCCAGGTGGAAGGCGTGCTGGCGGCATCAGGGGCTGCGCGTCCTCAGGCGCCCGTGGCTTCAGTGCCTGGGGGCGCCTCCATCATGGACACCGTTGCGAATAAGTACGCTTCGGATGCACTCGCCGACGAAGTGAAAGATATCCTCTCGAGTGCGAGGCTGTCCGCTGCCGTGGAGTTGAGGTCTCTTTCGGAAGTCACCCCGCTTGCAGACGCGGTGAACAAGATGTCCTCCTTCTGGCGGGACCCAGACGGCGACTTAGCGTTGTGGATACCACAACAATGGACACCCTAACAGTCCTATCCTTGACTTTAAAGAATGTTTAAAATGTAGAAAAATTCTCTTAGCATGTTCTGAACATGTGCTTTACATGTTTAAGCTAAATGTGAAACATGTTTTAGACATCTGGAAACTATTTGGCAGCATGTTTCCTCTCCATTAATCGACTTCCACGAACTTAGCGATGTTCTGTCCTCCGCCGCCACAGCAGGCTGGGCGGCACCATTTTGAGCTCGGCGTTGGGAGTGTTCCCGCCGTCCCCAGGGCGCCTGGGTCAGGGGCAATCGCCCGCAGGCGGGCCTGGGTTTCAAGTGGCACCGTAGATCCAGGCACCCAGTTGCTCTGTCCTCCAGGCGCCCTGGCAGCTCTCATGAGGGCCGCGAAGTCAATCTGCGCCGCCTCGGCTCCTGCTGCCGGGCCGGCGGGGGGGCCCGCAGCCCCGGCAAAAACGCACGGGAGATGCGCTTCCCGCATGGCAGCCATCGCGCTCAGCAGCGGGTCCGCGACGTCGATCTTGGAGGAAGATAGCCACCGAACATTTTCGTAGGGTGGAGGGCTCAGGGTGGAATCCACACGGACTCTTGCGCCTCGAAATTCAATCCGTCTTGTGCTTCGCCCTCTGCAGATTCAAGCCTCTTAAACCAGTCGAAACGGCATTTCAAATTTCACCCTTTGCCCTCCACCCAAAGAAAATGCTCGGAACCAGGGCGACCTGAGCAAACTCATAAGAATCTACCGGCCTCGGCGAGCCCGCACTCCGCGCCCAACCCTTGGGCAAGCAGCTCAAGCCGCGCGACGCGGCAGCAAAGCTCGGAAAACCTAGGCCGTGCGAGGCGCCCATCGAAGGATTCGAAGAGTCGAGGTCGTGGACGGAGGGCCAGGCGTTTGCAAAGTGGGCTGTGGCCCTTGGGCTGGCCTGCTGCGCGGCCGCATCGCGGCTGCATCGGTGCTGAAACGCATCGAGACGGTCGCGCGGCTGGCGGCGGGCGCGGCCAGCCCAGCGGCGCAAGCAGAGAAGCGCGCAACTGCCTATGACCAGCTGGTCAGGAGCACCGCTCGGGCTGCAGCAGGGCGCAAGGTCGACCCGCGCGTCTTTGCAGCGGCTGGGCGCGGCGACAAAGAAGACCCAGTGGCGCGGCCAGCCAAGCAGGCGCCAGACCTCAAGCTCGCGCCGCCTAGGCACGCCGCCCGGCCCCAGCGCAGGCCAGATGCAGTGCGCTATTGCTTCCGGCACTTCTTCGGCGAGTGCGACGCAGCAGCTCGGCCCCTCCGTGCGCGCGCCACCGCGAGCGCCCCATCTGCAGCAAGCAGGGCGAGAGCTGCCTTGAGAAGCGCCCCCGCTCGCTCAGCGCGACCACCGCCCGCGCAAAGGACGAGCGGGCTTTCGGGCGCGAGGCCGGCCTGACGACAAAGCCGACAGCTGGCAGCCTGACCGCGCTCGCTTCCGCTCCCTGGGGCGCGACGGCGGCGCCGCCGACGAGCGCTAGGGGCGCCCAGCTGCGGATGCCCCCGCGGGGCCAGCGCACAGGGGCCCAAACGCAGTTGGGACGGCCGTTAGGCCGGGGCGACACCGCAGCCGCGCCAGCAGCACCCGCTGCAACGATCGCACGGGCGCAGCAAGCTGCGTTGGCGCTGCCTGAGCCTGGGTGAAGCGGGAGGCCTCGCTCCGCGACGCCATTGCGCTGCGGCGCAATCTCGGCGCAGGTCTCTGCGTTTTCCAGCAGCAACAGTGGGCGAAGTTGGTCAGCTGGCATCGCCACTTTGTCTGCTCGGGCGAGCAAGAGCGCTGGGCGAAATCGTTTCCCGACCCCGCCCGGCAGGCGTGTGGCCACCTGCGGGGAGCGCTGCTCCGGGCCGCGCTGGCAGCTGTTTGACGCGACGATGCCACCACCATGAAGGATCTCCGCCCTTGGTTCGATGCGATCGTCGCCATCCCGCCGCCATGCACGCGGGAACCCTGGCAGGAGAAGCACGCGCCGACCCATGCGGCTGACAACCTGGCGCTGGCCCCCAAACGCCAGGACGCGGGGCAGCGCGCCGCGGCCGCATCGCGCCGACCAGAACAGCGGCAAGCAGTGAAGGAGCAAGCGGCCAAGGGCCGCATGGACATCGCGCGGGCCGAATCCGTGCCTGCCTTGGTCAGCAACCTGCGCGCCGCGCTGGGCAATGTTGTTGACTTGGAGCAAAGTTGCAAAATTCGAAGGTCCCAAGGCTCGCGGGCCGGCGGCGTCGCGGCAGCCACTGGCCTCCATGAGAAAATGCACATGACGGGCGTCGACGGAATCACCGCCTTCGTTCGCGCGGCTGCAGAGGCGCGCGATTGCCCCGAGCTGACGCTTGCGAGGGTGGACTGGAATAATATGTTTCACCAGGCGGGGCTCTAGCTTGCCCAGCGGCGTTCCTGCGTCTCCTTCGTCGTCGACGCCGGCGCAGGGGGCGCCGCGGCCGCGGCCCCTCGGTGCATGACATTCGGCGGGGGGGCGCAGCCGCAGCAGCGCGCTCGCCTGCCTCGCGCCCTCGTCGCCGTGGCGCGCATATTGTTTGGGATTCTGGCCGGCCACCATGTCAACGACGTGGTCAGTGGTGCCCCTGGCGGCACGGCCGCAGAGGAATTCCAGTTCGTCCTCGGCCTGCGTCGCATCGTCGGCTTTGAGGTCGCGTTCGCGTCGGACTTGGAGGGCGCGCTCTTCCCGCCTGGGGCCGAAGGCGCCCTCCTCGGGGCGCGCTTCCGTCTGCGTCCGCTGCGCGGCGCCGCAGGCGACGCGCTCGCGGAGGGGCGGATCTCAAGCGCAGCGGCGGGCGGAGGAGCTCAGGCGGGATCGCGCGGCGTGCTCGCCAAGGGCGGCCTCGCAGCTCGCGGGCCGCATCGCCTGGGCGCTTTCGCTATCATGGGGGAAGGCCGGCGCCGTCCTCCTGCAGGCGCTGTAGTCATTCGCCAGAGGAACATGATTCCCGGCGAAGGTGGACTCAAATGGTGAGGGCATTATGGGCCCCATCGCTCAAGATGGGTCTACCAGATGGGCTTCTCAGCAATCAACAACCCACTAAGCTGATGCATCGGGGCGAGGGGGCGAGGCACGAGGTGGAGAGGGCGACGACGAGACGATCCTACTCCCCTTTGCCATCACGCGCGCAGAGCGCGCGCAATCCTCGGCTCGGTCCCCGAGCCAATCCTTCACGGCCGCGCGCGGCGTCGGCGGCGGGGCGGCGGCGAGCACAGGGGGCAAGCGGGGGGGGGGCGCTGGAAATTCCCCCCCGCGGCGGGCCGCGCAGGCCGCGCACCTCGATCCCAGCCTATGGAGAACCGCGGTTCCCCGGCCCCCCCCCCCCCAGGGCGCAATGCCCCCCCCCCAGCGCCAACCCCCAGCAATTTTTACAGCGCCGGTTAAACGGGGCTGGAGCGGGCCGACGTGCCCCACGTATCATTGCCCAGGCTCAAAAGAGAACGTGCGATTTCTGGTGCAGGTACTTTGCCCTGTTCTTCTTCGGCAAGTAGCGCCGTGGCGGCTTAGCCTCCGCCAGCGCTTTGTTTCTTCGCCTTGACGAGTGCGAAATGTAACTTCCACTGCTGTCGCGCACGGTGTCGTAGTCCTCCGACGACCACCTATCCCACGACCAGCTGACGTCATTGTATTTCCCACCGTACTCAGGACCATCAGAAAGATGACCACGATTCCAGCGACCCCGATACTGACCACGCTGGTAGCTGTTCGGCGTCGAGTAACTGCTCGGCGTCTGACGCTCCGTCCTCTGTCCATCTGATGCCGCATCGGCGTCGCTGCCGAGTAAGTCGGGGCCTCGGCGCGCCTCGATTCCACATCGCGGCCCCTGCGCCCCCGCCTCGGCGGCGCCGAAGGGGGGCCCCGCCAGGGCTGCGCGAGCGCGCCGTCGCGGAGAGAGCGCCCATTGGAGACGGCAGCCATCAAGTCCCCCCGCGCAGGCGGCGCGGGAGGGGGGGGAGAGGAGAAGCAGCGGGCGCAGGGGCAGCGACTGAGTCAATGCCCTCAACGTCCACGGTTTCATCTCCCACTGGTTATGGAAAAAGTCTGCGCAGAACCCCCATCCGACTCAGACGGCTGCAGGCTCCGCGGCGGGCTCCTCCGACGGACTCGGAACGACTGTCGGATTGGGTGACTCTTCCACTGCCATATCGGTCGTCTCAGTATTCTGCGCTGGATGGCTCGCGGATATTCAGCCACCAGCTGAGCCGACATCAGGGAATCTGTCGTCAGCCAATGAGCGCAGGATGCCCACAGCAAGTGCGATACTTTGCTGTCCATGATTGACAACCAAACGAGCCCACTCATCAAGGCATTCACGTTGTTGTTGTCTTGTCCATGTGGTCTGGTTGGCGAAGTCTGCCATCGCATATTGGATTGGCCAGGGATTCGCACGCATCTTGGCCTCGAGGCTGAGCTCAACTCCCGAGATCACTGTTTCCAACAGGCCGGAACCCCTGACAGCGTTCCTGATCTTATTATCGAAATCGTATGAACCCTTATGCAAATGTGGTGGGCAATGGTCAACGTTTCCCTCGGTGTAATGCCTCATCTTATGCTCTTGGCCATTCAGGAGTAGCTGTGACTCCGATGGAATTAACGTAGCGCTCGCGCGTGACATATTCCATCGTGCGTTCTCGGATTATGATTCTCGCGCGAAAATCCCCGTGGTCAAGCAGTTGAGGCTTCATGCACTTTCACCGCATTTTTCCTGGAGTTTGGCAATCCTTGCCATGAGCCCCTGGTCAACACCTTCGCGGCGCGTGGGGTCGACAGCCATGTGCTGATGTATGAACTCGGCTGTGTTCGCCATCGATCAATCTTCCCGAAGCCTCGACCAAAAGTGCCGCCCCTGAGTCGCCCGTCAAATCAGCGGCCCCTCTGGAGAAAGTCGGAGCGAAACGGCGTTCCACAGGAAGACGGTGGCGCATGTGTTCAACAAATCTCTCGGCCAACCCCGCGGTCATTTTGATTCTCGAGGTATCAAATCCCAGTTCTTCTTCAATGTTCCCACTGGCACTCGGCGTCTTCTTCAGGAACAAGGAACAAGGGCCCCCGTCTATCTGAATTTCGGGTTTGCCCGAGTACTCGCAATCGATGATGTAGTGGTTGGGGCGGCCGGGGCCACAGCTCATCAAATGTCCACGTCTCTGTCCTGCGAAGTCCTCAAGAACAGTTGCCAGCAAATCCCTCGGGGCCATGACAGTCGCGATGCGATGCTCGATGCAAAAGTAAGGACCAACGCGAATATGGGATGAAGCATTATCCATCTTAGCTGCGACATCGCTCACCAGCCAAGTTTTCGTAGGGAGATCCGCCCCGTCCGCAGTGAGGTTCTCTTCCCAGATCTGCCATCCTTCTTTCGGCGCGGTTACGCTGTCCCCCGCATTTGGCCACGTGAACGCACAGGGAGGAGGGCATTTCATCGGTGCCCCCGATGAATCCAAATGCCTCCAGATGATGGGCCACCAGTCTCCCACTTTGGCAGTGTCAGTCTTCTAAGAGCTGCATGTCCTGAACCTCATTTTGAATGTTTCAACGGAACGAACGTACGGCTCGCATCGGCAAGGCGCAAGGCTCTTCGCACTCTTCGCCGTCCACGAGGGAAGCATGCACATCTGTGGCAGGGCAAAACATGCCCCCCCTTTGATTTCCCATCCTCAAATCTTCGGTAAGCCATTGCTTGTGATCCTTTTTCATACAGTTTTACTTGGGAATGGACAGTCTGCGAGGAATTATTACGTCCTGCTCGCCTGTCCCGCGACATGGCGGAACTCGGTCCCACTCCGTCCAAATCCACGGGCCACCTGTAGAGGCTTCTCGCTTTGAGGCTAGTCTCTGCTTTCTCAATCGATGGCGCTTCGTGGTGCGCACGGAGGTTGTGGTATCTCTATTTCGCCGCAATGCGGACACTGACGCATGCCGAGGCGGAAGCTGTACAGCCGCGCGCAAACACATCTTCCGTCATCCGTTCATGGTTGGTCGCGCGCGTGTCCGTCTTAGTTGCCGACAAACGTCTCAACCGACTGTGGGAAAGCCATCGTGCCAACTGGGTCCAACTGCATCTCTTTTGCGTCCACATTGAATCATCGAGTTTATGCCACGTCGCGAAGAATGAAGCGTCGTCGTCATTGCTGGCGCGGGAGCAAAGAGCGATCTTATCGATAAGTATCTGCCCACTGAAGAATCTTCTTGGAGACTATCGAACCATCAGGGGCCAGAGAGGTGCGCAGCACCTTAGACATCAGACGCAGCAGCGCGGAGCGTCGATCCTTGGGGCCCAGGAAGCTAGGTCCTCAGGGAGCTCTGGGGGCAACTTGGGATGCGAGCTCTGGCTCTCGAAGAGCTGCCCTTATGCCGCTAGGGATGGGCATGAGTTCTGTTCCCAGTTAGACCGCGCGCAGGCGGTCCATGCTACCGCAGAACCCTCATCGTCCGAGTTAGTGCGCCTCATCGCGACATCACTGTCGGGGTTAGCCACTCCCCTCACTCAGCGGCATCTGACCAAATCAGGGCCGATTGGTGGCGGCAGTTGCGCGGGGTCGCTAACCTGCGGCTGCCGGACTTTTGGCGCGCGGATGCCAATGGTCGCCCCGGTTCGGTCGAGGCCAGCTCGGTCGGATGCGACGGTTGGGCGCAGGAAGAAGACTCCAACGGCAGCGAGCTTCGCGGCCTTGCAGCGGCGGGGTAGCTCGTCGTCGTCAACACTTTCAAAGACGGAGCCGGCGACGGTTTCGCGTGGGTGAGTTTTCCTGGGTATCAACACCGCATTGACAATGTGTTAGTAAGTGCCCAATAGAAAGAATGAGCCCAGGGGCACATTGGATGACATGACGTTCATTTCACTACTGCGGTGAATGGGGAAACGAACGGAGGCGGCAGTGTCGGGAAGGTTGGGGGCGAGAAGGAGAAAGGGGACCACTTCCCAGTTTTCGCGTTGATCCGTTGGAAGGCCTGCCCAGGATGCTAGATGCAGGGGGGGGGGGGGCTTGGATATGACGAGGCCAAGACGGGAGAGATTGCACAGCGGGCAGCATGTGCTGAGCAACTGCAGAACACCCCGCTGCCCGAATGGAGTACGGATGCGAATGAACAGACACGGGGGCTGCAGTCAGCATTGCTCGAGGCAGCCCGCAAACATTTTCCCATCTCGCCGCCCTCCGCGCGTGCGAGCGCAGAGCCCCGATTTCACTGCGCCCCATCGGCGAGCGAGGGAGGCGCCGAGGATTGGGGGCGCTGGTCAGGCCCAGATGTGTTTCAATGTTGCTGCCAGCGTCCACATTCGGCCTGAGATGCTCAAGGTCATCAAAGTTCAACCAGCAGCGAAGATCATTGCTCTCGCCGCTCGGACGTTCCTCGAAGGTGGATTTGGAATCGAGGACTGGACCAAAAAAGTCGGCTGATCTGGTTCTTTCGATTTCGTGGGTTCTCCGCGCCATGCCGGGCGCAGAAAGGGCTCGTGGGGCGCCTAGCGGATGGGCTCGGCCAGCGCATCAACGAAGGAAATAACACGGGGGGCGGGCTGTCTCGCGCACACCAGGGCGGTTTGGGGGAGGGGGTGGCAAGAAGGACGACGCCCTCAATGATGTTTTTCCTTCTGGGATAGATTCCAAAGGGGACGCTCTAGCCGCCAGACAGGATATCGCTGGGCATGCGGCATCGCACTTCAGCGAACTCGAGCGCGCTGGGCGTATATCACAGCACGAACGCATCAGGACACGCGGGTCTGGCTTGCCAGCCATCAAATATTATGATCTTGATTCGGGGAATGCCATCGCGTTGCAGGAGGCAGGGGTGATTTTGAGAAAGCTTGATAATGAGAGAGCGGCCGGCCCAAACAATATCGCCAATGAAGTGTCGCGTTGCTCACCGCAGGGGATTGTGCGACATGTCCGCCCGAATTTGGTCAAAGCTACGTTGCAGGCTCGTGAACCAGTTGCTCTCCAGGGCGGGATTGCCTATAACTTGTACAATCCGAATGGCAAGCTGGCCCTTGCCCCGAGCTGTGGGCAGATATTACTCATGAGCACGATGGTCAAGTGTCTTCATGCATCTCCCTGGCCAAGCATCTCATCGGTTGTAAAATACATCTTGACTGTATCCCAATGCGGAAGTGCTCAGGGGGAAGGGGCCGACATGACATCGCATATGGTTTGGTCCTTCATGGAGTTGGCCAGGGCGCAGAAACATAATTTTCTGGTCGTTTCCACTGACCTGAAGGCCGCTTTTCATAAGGTCGTCCGTGAATTGTTCCTTGGGGGGCTCCACGAACGTGAAGATTGGGACTCAATTATGGACTCGGTTGGTACCCCTCCCACCCCCCCCCCCTCCTGCTGCAGCCAATCATGGACGCGCTGATCGGAGAACCAGGCATCCCGGAAATATATGCTCATGGTCCGCAATTACTTGTTCTCCAGGACATGCATCAGGACGCTTGCTTTGCAGTGCGTAGGGGCGATGAATCGCCAGGGCGCTGATGGGGACTCGGCCAGGTAGCAATATGAGGGAAACGGTGTTTACTGTTCCCTTCTCCCCGATCTTGGAAGAGAGTCGCCACGTAGTGAAATTGGCTGGGCTCGCCATTGGGTTGCCAGCGGTTGCAGGGCCGTTCGCTGGCAAGCGAGACAACGAGCGCAGGTCGATCACGGATGCGACATATGCGGATGATTTAACTGCGCTTGTTTGTTTGAGAGACGACGCGTCGCTCCGCTCTGCTGCCGTTCGCCTCTGCGCCATCCTCCACGAGGCCACCGCCTCTGGCGGGGCGCGTCTCAACGATGGAAAAAGGAAAGAGACAGGGCTCGCTGTCGGGATCCAGGGGGGCGGGGGGGGGGCCCAAGGTCACCGAGCAAGAACGGCGGTTCGCGCAGGGAGACGAGCAGCGGAGATTTGCAGCGCGCAGCGGAGATTTGCAGCGCGCATGAGAATCTAGGTAGCGCTCTCCATGTGCATGGGCGCCCGCGGGCCTAACATCCAGGTGTGAGCTGTTGCCCAGGATGAAGACGGAACTGGGCCTCTAAAGCGCTCGGTGCCCAAAGCGCGCGGGGTCGACGCCGAGACCGCGCTGAGGATTTGTTACCCGTTGTGCTCCACCAAGTCGTTGTTCCACGGTGGTGTTCGGGGTCCCTCGGGGCTACGGGCCCAGAGGAGGTCCGGGCCGAGGTTTTGAAACTACGCCGAGAGGCCGGGGGGGGGCTGCCTGAAGGGCGAGCCACGAGGGTGCGCGCAGGCGCGTGGACGATGTCTCGTTGGAGGCCCAACAGTTCGACGTCGAGATAGTGATTCGCATCCCCTGTCTCCGCTACGTTGCCCGTGTCTTGTCCAAAACCCCCTCTGAGCTGCGAGTCTTACTTGGTGCGATCTGGCACCTCATGGGTGTTTGGCATGCTATAGTTCGGGAAGATATCAAGTGCCTTGAGGCCCATGGTGGCCCTGATGATAGGACCGGAGGAATTCCCGTCGGCAAGTGGGTTGGCATGGCCCGTGAGGCTCCTTGCTCTTGGAATAGCACGGACCGAAGAACTGTCGCCATTTTTAACCCAGTGGAGCAGCGACCAGCTAGAGCTAGCTGTCCAGGTGGAGGATGAAATTATGCGATGTGCGTGCGTGCCGCCAGCGGTATTGAGGCGCCCCTCAAAGGTCCCGCACCCCATCCAGGTCGCTGCATATCCGCGCCAGGACTGCGGAGCCATTATGCGATCCAATGGAAGTTGGCGGCTCCACCGCGCAAGGGGCCATCCTGAGCAAGACCCGTCAGCCAGGCACGCTAGGGGAGGGACCTGCCATGTCTGTCTGCACAATGCTTCACCACTCGCGCGCGTCTTCTCAAGCATTTAAGGAGAGGAAGCAGATGGTGCCTCGCAGGATGAATACAACAGACGCAGCCGATGGATGCTGACGAGAGAGAATAGGACATCGAGGATGAGCAGGCTGAGACGCAGCGTCTCAAAGCCAAAGGCCTCTATCATGCCAAAGCCGAGGTGCCACGTTATCCTGTCTTTGGGCCAGCCTTCTTTCTCACCACCCGAACCCAAGATGGTGGCGCAGCACGCTTTGCCTGAACAACCGCCAGAGCCTGTCGCTGTGCAAGCCTCGCAGTGTTTGGGTGCCGCTCCGATTCCCCTATAAGTAAGATCAAGTACGTATTCCATCTCTTCAGTGGCCAGAGACGGCCTGGATATTTGCAGAATCATTTTGAACGGTTTCGGCTTCAGTCCCAGGGAGCGGCATGGATGTCGACGGTCGACGTCGGTCACGACGGGGTGCGTGGTGATCTCAGAAATGCCGCTGCCGTGAACAAGCTGATTGATATGTTCTATGCCGGCACACTCCTAGGTTTGATCGCGGGCCCCCCATGTGAGTCGTGGAGCTCAGTCCGTGCGCACCGCTTGCAGGACGGAGACGGGGGACCGCGACAGCTGAGGTGAATAAGTTCACTTTGGGGCATTCCGCTGCCCAGAGATAAAGCATGGACCCAGCTGGAGAGTGCCCGTGGTTTATACCGTGCATCCATTTGGTTTGCATATGTTGCAGTTGCCCAATGTGCAGCAGCAGTCGTAGAGCATCCCGCCCCACCTCCGACCAGCTCTTTCCGTCTTCTTGGTATGTTGAATAGACGGTCCACTTGATCCGAATGCAGCACCCAGATGTATGCACACACTTAGTTTGGGTGGGTCAGTGTGAGTCTGGAGCCGAGTCGATCAAGCCCACTTGCTTCTAGTTGCTAACATGCCGAACTTGAGAACATAATTGCAGCAATTCACGAATCATGGCCGTTGCTCGCATCGGTTTGGCAGTCACAAGACGTTGCTCGGTCGGGATGAGGACGGTTCATTCAAGACAGCACCGGCCAAGCAGTACCCTGATCAGCTGTGTGAGTTTCTAGCCTCTCATGTCCACCAGTTTGTTTGGGCGCGAGTGCTCTCATCGATCCCTTCAGCAGCCCTCAAGATGTTGAAGAGGACGCGAACTGTTGCTATACCTCACTAGAAGCATACAGTATTGCACATTCGTGGGGTGAATTTGGTCGAGACTTTGCTGGGTAGCCGCCGCCTTCAGAGGGTCCTGATGGGGCATGGTTGGGGGTCGGGTCTGTACTAACGACGGCGGCGGCCCCAGCTCCACAGGTCCCAGCAATGTCTCCGCGCCCGCGCGCGCCGGCGCCCCGCAGTGAAGGGAGGTGGCTTCTTTCGAAAGGAGGCGGCTGCCGCAGCCGCTGCCGCGCCCGAGGGTCGTTCGTCATGGGGTCAATTCGTTGCTCGAAATTCGACGCTGCCGCCTGTGAACATCGTTCTCGTTGGCCGAAACGCTAGAAACGCTAGGAGGAGGAGGAGGAGGATGAAGAGGAAGGAGGGAGGAGGATGAGAGCGGCACCCGTCGCGGTTCAGTACCAGGTGAATCGGGCTCTCCTCTGCCAGCTCGGAGGCGAAGTCACCAAGAAAGCCGCGGATGTCCTGCGGACGGACAAGAGCCTGCCTCCTCCCCCATACCTCGCCAGCCTCCTTCCCCTGCCTGCCCATCCGCCTCCCAGCTCCCCTCCTCCTCCTTCTCATCTTTCTATTCCACGTCCATCATCATCGTCGTCGCCACCATTATCAGCATGGGCATCAGTATTAGCATCAGCACCCACAGCATCATCATCATCACGATTATCGTCGCTATATTCCTCCTCCTCATCATCAACACCAGCATCAGCATCAGCATCAGCATCATCATCATCGTCGTCGTCAGAATAATCATCACCAGCATTATCAGCATCCTCCTCCTCATCATTATGAGCATGATCATGATCATGGTCATGATCGTGGACATGCACATGGTCATCATCATCATCATCATCATCATCATCATCATCATCATCATCATCATCATCATCATCATCATCATCATTATCATCATCCGTCCCCCGATCTCCTGGGAGGGAAGTGTGCGTGGCTGCAGGCCTAGTGCCTGGGAATCGGCATGGGGCAGGGCACGCAGGGGCAAGGGGAGGAAAGAGCGGAGGGAGAGAGGGGAAGGGACGAGATGGGGTGGAAGGACGGAAGAGGGGGAGGGGAATGGGAAAGAAAAGAGGACGGAGGGAGGGATGGAAGGGACGAGAGAGATGGAAGGAGAGGGGGGATGGGAAGGACACGGGGGTGGAGGGGCGGGACGGGGATGAAGGGAGAGGAGGGCGGGCGGGAGAGCGAAGGAAGCAGTGATGGAGGCCGAGAGGCCGAGGCCGAGGGGCCGAGATCGCTCGTTCGCGCTCATCCATCCTGACCAACATCCACTCAGAAAGCGTGTCCAGGGATGTAGCAGAGGGCGATAAAAGGGGGGGAGCAGCGAGGGCTGCAGAGAAGGGGCTCTTCAGTGCCCTTTGAAGGGCCCTCTCGGGACCAAAAGATTGCCTCTCCGAAGGATGCACCTATCTCCCCCCCCCCCCGCTCCAAAAGCCCCCGTTTGGGGCCCGAAGGGGTCCAATTTGGGAGCCCCACAGAGCCCCTATTCTGCAGCCGCCCTCCCCCCCCCCCTTCGTCGCCCCCCCAAGAGAAGGAGAAGGTGCACTCGGAGAAGGGGGAGCGTAGCAGATGGCGACAAGACAGGAGCGGTGGCTCCAACGCGTCTCTGTCCAGAGATCGCTCGCAGGAGCGGTGACTGGGCAGAGGAGGGGGCGGCGGGGAAGGGTGCTGGGCGGAGCTTGCGCTTCGGCGAAGCACGCGGGTCCTCAGAGGGCGAATCAGCACGCGACGGCGGCGAGGGCGGCGGCGACACCGCTCAGGCCAGCGCGCGCGAGGGCACCACTGAACGTGCACCTGAGGCGCTCCGAGAAGGCCGGGGCCACCGGCGACGCGAAGATGGTCGCCGCCTCTCTGTAAGCGAACGTCTCCGCATACGCCAATCTCAACATGGTGCGCGTCCGAACCTCCAGCTTCCTGCTCGCTTGTGGCGACACCGCAAGGTTGGGCAACACCCTGGACATGCTGTCAAGCAGCTGCTGCATCCGCCCGAGGCGCTAGTAGGCGGGCAGCATGTGGGCCGCCATCATGCAGCTCAGCTGGTCGCAAGCCTCGGCTTGTTCGCGACAAAGAGGCGGTAGGCATCGAACTGGGTGAGATGGTTGTTGAACTCGACACTGCTCATCACCCCGTTGATGGCCAAAAACAGGGCTGGCGTGAACCTCTCGGGGGGGGGCGACATCTCAGTCACGATCCGCTTCTGACATCCAGTGTGCGCCGCGCGGAAGTCCTGGATGTCGTTCCACGTCTGGTTCAGCATGTGCGCCAACATGTGCTCGAACTGAGTGTTTTCGATGTCCTTGTGGTGGGCCACGAGCTCCTCTGCCTTGAACCTGATGCTCTCCACTAGCTTGGCCGACGCGAGCACGGACTTCGTCCCAAGGGTCTCGATCTTGTCGTCGTACTTGGCACCCCACTCTGTGCCCTCCTTCGGATCATTCGCCTTCGTGTTGACTTCGTTCTTGATGGTATCCAACTCGTGCTGTGTCACGTCAGCAGATTCGCCCCCTCGGTGATCTCAATATTGCCGATGTGAGCGGACGAATTGCGACGGCTGTCCGCCTCCTCCCAGAGCCAGCTCTTGGCCTGCTTCTCCGCCTCCGCCAGGTACCTCACGTTGCTCTTGCGAATGGACTCGTACTCCTTAGTCAATTCGCGCACCTCCTTCGCCTGGTCATTTTCGATCTGGGACTCCTCCCGCTGGACCTTCCTGTCCAGCTTATCCGTCCGAAGCCGGTCCTTCATGTAGCTGACCTCATCCGCCGCATCCTCCGCGTCATCCTGCATCGCCATCTTGAGCATCTTCTTGTCCTCCCGGTCCGCCATCTTGCGCGTGTTGATCTCCACGACCTCCGAGTTGTGAAGCATCCTGTTCACGTCACGGCCCTGGTGGTCCCCGTCCTTCTCGAGGCTACCGACGAGGCCCTCGAGGCGGTCATCGCGCGTGGTCTGGGCCCGGGCCTCCGCCCTCGCGATGCAGTCCTTGGCCTCCGACTGCTTATCGGACATGTCGCTGCCCATCGTCTTGATCGCGCAGCGCTCGGCTTCCACGGCCTCCTCCCTCGCAGCCACGGCCTGCAGCTCGGCCCTGGCTGCCTGGTGGACAACCCAATCTCGCTCGCCCTCGCCACCGTTCTCTCGCTCCTGCGCCCGCGCTTGCCGCTCATGGTGTGATCGGGGCTGTCCATGCCCCCGCCCTCCGTGCCAAGCTTCAGCGGCTCGTCTTGTGAACTTGGCGGCCACGTCGGGATCCTCCTGGGGGCTGGCAGAGGAGCAAGCTGCACCTGCTGGTCGTGGGGCCATGACATCTGGGTGCCAAGGCCACTGCAGGCAGCGAGCCCGGACACGATGACGGTCGCACGCATCATGGGACACGTGAGGCGTGCGTGTGCCCTCGTTCCTGCCGCGGCAGGCCCGAAGGTGCTGGTTTAGGTGCGGAGTGCTTGAGCCAAGCAACGGGAGGGCGAGGAGGAGGAGGAGGAGAAGGAGGAGGGGGGAGGGCCGGGCAGGAGTCGAACAGAAGCTGGCGAGGGGAGAGCAGCGAGGGAGGGATGGAGAGGGGGGAAGGGCGGGGAGGAGAGTGAGGGGGAGGGGATGTCAGGGAAGGAGATGCGGGGAGGGACAGGGACCGGAGGGAAAAGGTGATGATGGACAGAGAGCGGAGGAGCGGGACGAAGGATGGGATAGATGCCCCACTCACGTGGATGCACCATGTCTCGATGTTGTCTGAACGTCTTGCCACGCAAGAAGGCCATAGAAGGCCCGAACAGCGGACTCCGAGAGACCCGCGAGGGGGCTGCTATTATACCACGAGGAAGACACGAATGCAGTGTTAACGGGGGAGGTGGGAGAGGAAGGAAGCTGAGCCTCAGGGCCTCAGGGAGACCTTCGGATTCTTGCTAGTATTCCTTCTCCTCTCCGTCCGCCTCCTCCTCCCTCTTCTCCTCCTCCTCCTCCTCATCCTCATCCACCTCTTGCTCTGTCCGCCTACTCCTGTCCTCTCCGTCCTCTCTCTCCTTTTCCACCCTTTACCCGGATCCCCTCCCTCCCCCATCCCCTCTTCCTCCCTTTCCCTCCTCCTCTCCCTCCTCCCTCCTCCTCCCTCGTCCTCCCTCCTCCTCCTCCTCCTCCTCCTCCTCCTCCTCCTCCTCCTCCCAAAACTCCTCCTCCTTTTCCTCCTCCTCCTCCTCCTCCCACCACTCTTTCTCCTCCTTACATTCACCCCGCCCTTCCCTCCTCCTCCTCCCTCCTCCTCCTCCTCCTCCTCCTCCTCCTCCCCCTCCCTCCTGCCTCCATCCTTCCTCGTCTTCATCGCTCCCTTCCTCCCTCCACCTCCTCCTCTTCTTCCTCCTCCTCCTTCTTGTTGTTATCTTCCCCCTCATACTCCTCTTCCTCTTGCTCCTCGTTCTCATCCCTTCCTCCGCTTCCTCGTTCTCCTCCTCCTCCTCATCCTTGTCCTCCTCCTCCTCCTTTTCTTCCTCCTCTCATCACCATCATCAGCCTTATCAAAAACAACCTCCTCATCATCACCATCATCGTCATCATCGTCAGCATCAGCGTCATCATCATCACCACCATGAACACCATCACATACACCAACAAAATCACACGAACACCGTCATCACCACCATCATCATCCTTGTCATCCTCTTCCTCATAAGCACGATCACCGCAACCACCATCATCATATCACCACCATCACCACCATCACCACCACCGTCATCATCATCATCATCATCAGCATCAGCATCATCATCACCACCACCAGCATCATCATACGCAGCTTACTCACAACCATCGTTGTCGTCAACATCCACATCACTGTCACCACCACCACCACCAGCACTGGCACCACTATCATCAGCACCAGCATCAGCATCATCATCGCCTCAACCACCATCGGCATCATCACCTTCACCATCACCATCAGCGTCATCGTCATCGCCACCATCATCAGCATCACCGCCTCCAGTATCATCATCACCACCGCCACTAGCATTACCATAGTCATAATCATCAGCATCAGCATCATTACGATCATCGGCATCATAATCATCAATACCATCATCATCATCATCACCATCACCATCACCATCACCATCATCATCATCATCATCATCATCATCATCATCATCATCATCATCATCATCATCATCATCATCATCATCATAACCAGCATCATCACCATCACCACCATCGTCATCGCCAGCATCATCACCACCATCAGTATCATCAGTATCAGCATCATAATCATTATCATCGTCACCCCTCGCTCTCGCTGCTTCTGCTTGTAAATACACGTGAAGCATCGCGTTTCACGCACACAGCACAAACTCTAGTTGCCATCGGGGCCAATCGTATAGCGCGCCAAGTCGGCCGTGCCCAGATGATCGGGTCCTTGGCTTGGAAGCCCACGCGTTGATGTCTGAAGTCGCACTGAGGCGTGGTATTCGTGGCAGTCCTTGGCCATCCTTGGGCAATATTGCAACTCTCTTCGGAACCATTGGGACCTCCGCAGCCAGCTTAGAACCAAGAAACCAAGAGAGTGAGAGGGGAGAAGGCGGGAGTGACAAGAGAGGAGGAGACAGGGGAGAGGAGGGAGGAGTGGGCGAAGGAGAGGGGGAGGAGGCTGGATGAGGAGGAGGAGGAGGAGGAGGAGGAGGAGGAGGAGGAGGAGGAGTGAGGGGGAGAGTGTTTGCAGACCTTGCGGAATGGATTTGTCTCCGACTGGGGGCCTGCAAGAAGTATCTTGTAGTCTCAGGGGGGGGGCTCTTGTTTGCCTGTGAGGGGTCTCCTGGGGTCTCTCGGGGGCCTCTAGGGGGCCTCTTGGGAGCCTCCGAGGGCCTCCTGGGGCCATCTTGGCGCCGAGAACGTTTGGGGGGCCACCTGGGGCCTTCGTAGAGCTTTCATGGGGCCCTCTTGGGGACCTCTTGGGGCCCCTTGGGGGCCATTTGGGGGCCTCGAGGGTTGTCCTGGGGCCGTCTCGGAGGCCTCTTGGGCTGTCTTGGGCCCGTGTTGGGAACCTCTCGGGGCTATCTTGGACGATGTGGGAGCCATCTGGAGGCTTCAAACCCCGATCGGATGCGACAAGGCGAAAGAACGAAAAACATCGGGCACGGGCCACAGGGGTGCCCGAGCCAAACGTCATCAGCTGCAAGCGCTTGGGCCAGGCGATGCTGGAAGGGGAACGCTGGCGGCAGGTCAGGGAGGGCCCTGCCCACAGTTGAAAGAATGGCCAGGGCTCGATCGCATCTGCTGCAGCTCTTGGTCTCCGAGCCACCCACGGGCCCATCGCTCTCTCTACTCGCCGCCTGGGTCGGCCTGGGAGGGTCTGAGAATGCATTTTCTTTTTCAGGACGGTGTTGGGATGCTCGCATCCGCACGCCGACCGCTATATCTTGCTATGTGTTGCTCTTCCCGGCACCCGCCGATTTCGGGTGAATCTGGTGATTGCACCCTCCGACCGCCGTCTCTGTTCTCGTCTTACTGCTCCTCCTCTCCCTTTCATCTTGTTCCCCCTCCTCCCTCTTCCCCCTCCCCCTCCCCCGCCTCTTGACGATGCGGCCGCCGCAGGGCCACGTCTGACAGTGCAAAGAGATTGTTTTTTTTGCCGCATAGGGCCACAGATGTGGCAAACACATGACTTTACATCCACATGGTGGGATCCCCGAGCCTCCTCATTCTGAGCTTCGCTGCGAGAGCCGCTTGCTGCCGCAAACCTCAGGCGAACATGCCCCGGTTGCACTCGTGACGCATCGCCACCACCTTCTCCTCCTCCTCCTCCTCCTCCTCCTCCTCCTCCTCCTCCTCCTCCTCCTCCTCCTCCTCCTCTTCTCTAGCCCCTCCTAGGGGAAATCAGAAGGTGCCGATACCGCCACTTCCCAGACCTCTCCCAGGCGGTGGCGACGAGGGCTACCCAGGCCCCGAACATGGAAAAACGGGCGGGGGTAGAGGTATGGGTTGTGGATGCCATGACAATGGGCACTCTAACAATCCGATCATTTAATTAAATATGTGTTTCAATTGTATAAAACATGTTCTAAACGTGGATCAAATTATCCCAGTGGGACCCTACCTAGGAGTTGGAGCCCCTAGGAAAGCAGCATTAGTAGTAACAGTAAAGCTAAGCTAAAGCTAAGATGAAGCTGAGCTAAAGCTAAGCTAAAGCTAAGCTGAAGCTAAGCTATAGCTAAGCTGAAGCTAAGCTGAAGCTAAGTTAAAGCTAAGATAAAGCTACGCTAAAGCTAAGCTAAAGCTAAGCTAAAGCTAAGCTAAAGCTAAGCTAAAGCTAAGCTAAAGCTAAAGCTAAAGTTAAAGCTCCCAAGGGACTGGGGGAACCGCGGGGCGGGGACTGGGGGAACCGCCCGGGGCGTCTTACACTGCCCGTCCCCTTTAAGCAAACAAAGTAAGAACCCTTATAGGCAGAGCCTAGGTAGGGAACATGTTTTTTACATGTTTAAAACATGTTTGAAACATATTTCAGACATCTGGAAATTATTTGGCAGCATGCTTCTTCTCCATTGATCGTCCTCCACAAGGCAGGGGTAGCTTCTTCTCCTCCGACCTTCCTCCCCCGCTCCCTCCTTTCCCCTCTCCCTCGGCTGGGGACCCGCGAGCGCCGTCCTCGACGGTGGCCTTGTACGGCAGGCCGCGCAGCTGCACCGCGCACTGCCCGTCCAGCAGCTCGTCGAACGCAGCCGCGGGCAGGCGCGTCGCTCCCCCGTCAGCTCCTGCGGAGGGGGCAAGCGATGGGCAGAGGCCCCCCAACAGCGTGCGGTGACAGACCGCGCGCAGCCAACCCGTCTAAGAAGGACGCGCGATGCAGCCAGCCCGTATCCAAGGATGCGCGGTAAGGATGCACGGGCCTCGGACGGCCATGTTCTAAGGTTTTTCGAGCGAGGTTGGCCAGCAAAAGTCGCTAAGGATGGGCCGACGGGGCAAGGATGCAAGTGTACCCTTGGGAAGGTTGCCCATGCCTACTATGTGGGTTGACTGTAAGGATGCAAGGGCCTTGGAGGGCCGTGCCGACACTCTGCGAGCCGGGCGCGGCCAGCGAGAGCGGCCAAGAGATGAGCCGAAGGGGAGGGGTGCAAGGGCAAGGGTTAAATTTTGGAAATCAAACATCCTCACTCTGCGGGTCGACTGTGCGGTGACAGATCGCGCAATGACCTCGGAATCACCCACAACCTCACCACGCGGTCCGGCACCGCATGGTTTCGGGACCTCAGATGGCCCCCGTCGCCCTAGCCCGAGACGTCCCCGGAGAACGACCAGAGTCGTCTTCGTCCGCGCGGTAGGGAGGAGGAGGAGGAGGAGGAGGAGGAGGAGGAGGAGGAGGAGGAGGAGGAGGAGGAGGAGGAGGAGGAGGAGGAGGAGGAGGAGGAGGAGGAGGAGGAGGAGGGTGAGGAGGACATGAGGACCCCAAGAACGTGCGATGACCCCGACGCCCCACTGATTCACAGCGCGGTGTAGTCACCAAGCTGTTTCTTGGGGCCCCCGAGTGGTTGTGGCTGCCAACGAGGGAGGGCGGCAGGCCGAAGCAGAAGAGGTCAGAGGCGGCGAGGGCAGACAGAAACGATCTGGGCCGAGGGTCGCGCCCGAATGTCCCCTGCCGTACCCCCCTCCCCTCTCCTCCCCTCCCCGCCCCGCCCTTCCCTCCCTTTTCCCACTCCTCGCCCTCCCTCCTCTTTCCGCGCCCCCTCCCCGCCCCTCCCTCGCCTCCCTTCTCCCCCCTCAATCCTTTCCCCTCCGCCCCTCGCCCTCCCGCTTCCCCCCCTCCGCCCTTCCAAGGCAAGGCAAGGCCGAGGCAATCTCGCGCGAGGGAACGGGCCACGGCGGAAGGAGGAGGAGGAGGAGGAGGAGGAGGAGGAGGAGGAGGAGGAGGAGGAGGAGGAGGAGGGTGAGGAGGACATGAGGACCCCAAGAACGTGCGATGACCCCGACGCCCCACTGATTCACAGCGCGGTGTAGTCACCAAGCTGTTTCTTGGGGCCCCCGAGTGGTTGTGGCTGCCAACGAGGGAGGGCGGCAGGCCGAAGCAGAAGAGGTCAGAGGCGGCGAGGGCAGACAGAAACGATCTGGGCCGAGGGTCGCGCCCGAATGTCCCCTGCCGTACCCCCCTCCCCTCTCCTCCCCTCCCCGCCCCGCCCTTCCCTCCCTTTTCCCACTCCTCGCCCTCCCTCCTCTTTCCGCGCCCCCTCCCCGCCCCTCCCTCGCCTCCCTTCTCCCCCCTCAATCCTTTCCCCTCCGCCCCTCGCCCTCCCGCTTCCCCCCCTCCGCCCTTCCAAGGCAAGGCAAGGCCGAGGCAATCTCGCGCGAGGGAACGGGCCACGGCGGAAGGAGGAGGAGGAGGAGGAGGAGGAGGAGGAGGAGGAGGAGGAGGAGGAGAGGAGGAGGAGGAGGAGGAGGGAGGGAGGGACAGAGGAAAGGAGGAGGGAGGGAGGGAGGGAAAGAGGGAGGGAGGGAAGGGAGGGAGGGAGGGAGGGAGGAGGAGGAGGAGGAGAGGAGGAGGAGGAGGAGGAGGAGGAGGAGGAGGAGGAGGAGGAGGAAGGGAGGACAGAGGGGAGGGGGAGGGAGGGAGGGAGGGAGGGAGAGGGAGGGAGGGAGGGAGGGAGGGAGGGAGGGAGGGAGGAGGGGAGAGGAAAGAGGAGGAGGAGGAGGAGGAAGAGGGGAGGAGGAGGAGGAGGAGGAGGAGGGCCTCGCGTCGCCCCACCCTTGGAGAACCCCCGCTCGCAGCTTGTTTCGGTCACCAACCTGCCTGGCGCGCCCCGTGCGCCAGGGGCGACATTCGAGGCGCCGCCGGGGGGCCCAGCGCCGATCCAAGAAATCCGCACTGGGCGTCGAATAGTGATGTTCAAACTGGAGTTTCCATGAGGCCTCCGGAAAGTGCTTCCCCCAAAGGCCCCCGCAGTTGGCAAAAGTCTCCTGGGGCATCCGGGACCACAAGGTTTCAAAGAGGGGGAAACTCCGACTGCACCTCCCTGCGATGGCGCGCGCATCCTGACAGCCGATGGAACGGCATCTTGCTCGGTCTTCGCGCAAGTGGTTCGAGCCGCGTCAAAAGAGCAAGGTGAATTACGTGTTGCGATCGTTCAGCGGCAAGGCTTACGTGTCGGGCGCACCCTGCCCCGTGGCCATCAGCATGTGCGTACTGGCCCGGTGTATCAACCTTGCTGGAAACAGTGTACTACGATATGAAATAAGTGACTTGTCTGGGACGAAGACCTCGCGCGCACCGCGATGAAGCAACGCCAGCATATCTACGATAGCCTCAAATTATGGGAAAACTGTTTGTGATTTTATCGCTGCCTATCATATCGCATTGGGGGCGCGAGCTGACGGCTGGGGCTCCTAACTGCGACGGCACATCTACCCAAACGTGCGACGGAATACACGGGTGAGATTAAGGAAGAGTAACCCTGCGCCCCAGATAACACCCCCTGGGGATGAAAAAGTTCGGGGGTCTGGCTGGGATACTCAACGAATTTCCCAGCGAAGGTGATGATACGATGATGATGGCGGTCGTGATGATGATGATGATGATGACGATGATGATCCCGGGCGCTCGCGCAACCTGACCTTGTACATGTTGGCGCAAGACTGGCCCGACAGATCTCGAGGCTCGCGGCTACAACTTGCCCGCGCAAGAGGTCATTGGCGCTCCTGGCCAAGATGCCTCTCTTGCGCACGACCTCAAACCACTCGCCCATGCAGGCTCGGTATCCTTTGGAGCCGTCGTTGCACGGGGGGCACTTGGCGCAAGCCTGGGCGGCAGGGCTTGCCTTCTCCAAGGTGGCTTGCTTCGGCTCGACCGCCGTGGGGCCCTTGAAGGGCTTGGGTTTGACCTTGCTCTTGGCATTGGCCTTGGCCCTGTCGTTGTCGCTGGCCTCCTTGAGCTCGTTGGCCCACTCGATGCCACGGGCGCGCGCCGCGCTGATGCTCGCGGGCGGTTTGCGGCCCCCGCCTCGGATCTCGCGCGGGGCGCGCTCGACCCAGCGACCCGCCCGCAGGCCGCAGGGCCAGGCGTCGGCCTGAAACGTCTTGTTGCTCCTCGCATGGCAGGTCTCGCCACGCCCAATGGCCCCGAGCTCGCGGAGGATCCTCGCGGCGGCCTTGGGAGGCCAAATGCAAGCCCCACCTGCGTTTTCTACAGCGGAGGGCGGGGTTCACTTCGTTCGGCAGCTCCCGAGCAAAGTGAACCCCCTACCTCCCCTCTTAGAAATCGCGGGGTGCAGGTGTGAGTTCGCACGTGGCCCTTCAGGCCTGCTTGGCGTTCTCGGCACTCCGCCGCGACGCCCCCGCCGATCCTCGAGATCCTGGCGGGCGTTGCTACGAATCCCCCCTGCCCAGGGTGCGCCTAGAATCCGCTCCAAAACGGAGCGAAAAACTTGAGGCACCTGGGGGCAGGGACAACTATTGCAACCGCCGACCTTGAGGCAGGTGTAGTGCACAGGCACCTCTGAGCGTGCGCAGATCAAGATGTGCTCGGCCATGTGGGCTCTCTCGGCCAAACGCATCTGCTCCTCGGGCTGCTGGGCGGCGGGTTCGCCCTCGCCCTGGCCCTCTCGGGCCGCGGCGACGGCCGCCGCGAGCTCGACCGCCAGAGCGGTCGCGGGGGCGCCCGCGCTCCTCGATCTCGCCCAGCAGCGCGCGCACTGTGCCCAGCTCGAGGGCGCCGCCCTTGACGATTTGCTCGCAGCCCATGATCGCGTACTCCTTGGCAAGCTCGGTGCGGCGAGCCAGTCTGGTCTGGCGCCAGTCGAGCTTGCGCGGCTCGGGGAACTATTAGTCCTGCTCGATCGTGACCTGTGGCGCTCGGGATCCACAAGCACTCGTTAGCTTTCGCTTGCTTCCGCTTCGCGGCGCCAAGATTCCACCGTCGCTTCCGCCGCCAACTCTCCGCCAACTTCCGCCGCTTCCGCCGTCGCTTTTGCCATTTCCGCTAGCCCCCGCTTGCTTCCGCCGCCCCAGTCGGAAGCAAGCGGGAACTAGCCAGTGCCCGTGGGCCCCCGAGTCTCGCTGCTCTCGATCTGGAAGATCGCCGCGGTCTCCACTTCGCGAACGCGCAGGCGGCGCGCGTCCTCGGCGCCCGGGACTCGCCAGACGTCCTGCACACTGCCGCGCCTACCCTCGTGGACTCCCTCCTCGGTAACGCGCGCCGCCTTGCCGTGCCAGGGGGGTCCTCGCAAGCCTCGAGACCTGTTTTCTTCTTGGCCTTCGCATTATTTTGGACGTTATTCTCCGCTTGCGTCTTGGCCTGAACTTCTGGGAGAAGCTCGTCTTGTCCTTCGGCGCCCCGCCTGCGAGCTTCGCCTTGGCCGCGCCTCGGCCCAGGTGCTCGAGCGAGGCCTCGGTCTCGGCCTTCGCGCGCCGCCACCTGTGCTGCAGCTTGCCCGGGAACTGCCCCGAGAACTTGGACACCCACCTGCTCTTGCGAGCTGCTGTTCCTTTCTGCTGGATTCGGCCCTCGAGGGCGCGCGGGAACTGGATTTTCTGAGTCCGCTCTTCTGGCGTTCTGAGCATGTCCTCCAGCTCGTCGGCGAGCTCGAGGTTTGGTTCTCGGAGCTCCAGGAGGCAGGGATTCTCGCCCTGCTCGCAGTCCCTGGGCAAGTCGTCGAGGTGGAAGCAGCTCCCGTGGAGGACGACGCTCCACTCGGGCACGGGCGGCACGCCCTTGGGCCACCTCTGCATGCGCTCCAGGCGCCCGCTCGCCAGCCTGTGCTCGATG